GCATCTTCATGCGATTCTTGGCGACAGTGGTCACCTTGCGAGAGTGGGGACCAGGAATGTCCACGGAGGGGAATTGTTGTCCAGCGACGAAGAAGTTTTCGATGTTGCGCAGATAGTAGCTACTACCGGCCTCGCCCGTACTGCTGCGTACAACCAGGAAGTCTGTGCTCTTTGTCCGGTGGGGGAAGAGTGGTGCTCGATACATGGAGTTCGAGATCGCCGGGGCAATTTCACCGGGGTCAACATGACCGAAAATCGAGAACGGACTCTTGTCTTGCGGTAGCAGGACAGCTGTTTCACCAATCTCGGCTCTGGGACGCGTTGGGTCGTCAATATTTTTGCGCCGGTAGTAATTGATGAATCGGTTGCACATTCCGAAATTGGCAAGCATCATGGGAACCTCTTCAGAGTATTCAACAAGCAAAACATTAGAGTTGTCTGCCATAGACAATGCCTTGGTGCTATCATAAACACTCTTTGCGTCTCTGCCACGTTGCTGCTTGCGTTTGACGTGGGCAGGATTCTTGAACCAGGATGTTTGTCCAGGCCGGAAAGCCATTGAAGGTCGGTGGAAAGATCGGGCTTCAGCCTTGGCCAGCTCAGTCTTGTAGTAAGGCCACTGCAAGCGGAGAGCAGGCAAGCCATGCTCGAGGGTAACGTTACCAAGAGTGCTGCGGATCTTGTTCTGATGGTTCTGTTTGAGCATGTCGTACGCTTGGTCATTCGAGATATTGTAACGTGAAGTGAGACGGCGCGTCAGATTCAAGTCCACCTCGTCTCTGGATCGGGGAGCGTGCTTCGGCTTGTTTGCTATAGCATCTGCTCTAGACTCGTCAACGAGAATGTTTGGATCGTTCAAATCAATGGTGACTCTCTTGGCGATCTTCATCGTTGCCTGCTCAGGGTCATCCAAGAGCGGAATGTCAATATGAGACATTGCGATGACGTCCATCGGGCTTGGTCCAGTCTTTCGCTTCTTCTTGGGTACATCATCGTCCATGAGCCAATCTGGCTCGTCATCATCGAAAGCGGCATCCTTTGGTTCTTCTTCGGGTTCTGCAATAGGTATATCGTCCACCATATCCCAGTCCGCGCAAATGGTCCGAAGATCTTGCATAGTAATGCCACCCGGCAGCGGATCATCGCCATCTGCGTCGCCCAATTCAAGGTCTTCTTTTTCTTCTTCGTCTTCCTCTGGTGTTGACTGTGTTATCATCACCACACCCAGAGAATCGTGATCAAGGCCACGCTTGAGTGGCTGTCCTGTTCGGAATGTCCGCTCCTGATCCGCTGCAAGCTCAATATTCACTTTCGTGGGTAGAACGGGCTTGGGCGGCTTGGTGGGCTGTTTTCCGATAAAAATCGCTTTCTTATGTGGAATGAGCTCCAACCATCGCGGGAGTTCATTGCGATTAAATGAAGGGAATAATGAATGCAGCAGTTCTTCGCGGTTTTCGGGAGGTGCAGGTGGGTTTTCGGGTCCAGACATTGCAAAAAGTGCCTGCTGGAGCTTCCAAGCGCGAAGTGTAGCGGGATCCATGTCGTCTGACATGATGCTGGAATCGTCCGGGATATCTTCATCCATGGGCACCTGCTCTGCCTTGGGGACGGTAGCGGGAGGAATGGGTGGAAGTTCGACTGGCTCATTGGTCAAGGGCATTTGTTCATCTTCAAAAAGACCACTTGTAAGGTCCGCCTGTCCAGCAGGGGGAGGCGGAGAAAAAGAGCCTTCACCAAATAGATCATCAAGGTTATCGTCTTGTGTCGGAGCCCCCGCAGCCTGCTCACCGAAAATATCATCACCGTTCCCGAAAAGAGCGGCGTCGTCGGAGCCCAGGTTCGCGAAAGGATCTTCGCCATTGTCGTCCACTGTGGGTAGGGCTGGGGCAGCGTGGGCCTCTTCTTCCGGAAGTTCGTCGTCGTCGAAATCTTCATAGTCGACCGCATCATCAGCTTTCTCGCCCACATCCAAGTCGCGCGACAGGAAATCCAGAGATGGTCCGTTGTTCTCATAGCTGTTGAGTTGCTGCATCACATTGTTGAAGTCATCGTCCTCGTCCTCCGGGACCTTCTTCTGCGTCGCGTGAGGCATGGTTTCGGCAGGAAGTAGTTTTGAGGAAACTGAGACACTCCGGGGGTGTGGCGGTTGAGAAGAGGAGGTCGGTTCAAGATAGAAGTGAGGGAAATCTGAGGTCGTAAACGTAGGCGCTAGCCAGACGGGCGGCTCGCGGCTCAAACGGCGGGCATCTGGTTGGTATCTGAGTAGGCAAAAGAAATATTGCGTACGTCGTAGCTATTGCAACCGAACAGTGAGGGAGTGGGAAGCAAGAAAGGGAGCGTCCGAGTGGGCGAAGAGGCAAGATGGAAAACGGCCGCGGGTTCCAAGATGCGCGAGGTCGACGCTAACCCGAAATGGCAATCAGCTCGTGATAGAGATCAATACAATTTGAGACAATACGCGCTTTAACAGACCGTAAGATAATAAGGTGAATAATAAGAAATATTAGTACATTGGATTGTAGTTTTATCAAGCGTAGCAAACGTCAGTCAGGGAACATTGAAATCCCCGTAGAAAATACACAACGCCTTGCTCGCACCCTCCATACAATAGTGCATCACTGTAGCCTTGTGACCGTCAGGGACCAGCTTTGCCATTTGCTTCAAATCAGATGTCCTTGGGATGTAGAGAACCATATGCTTGCTAAACACAGAGTACTCATCATACAACTTTTGTAGGGAGTATGGCTCCATGGTCTTGAGGTTGAATACCTCATCCGAACGATATCCGGGGCCTGATGCGATTAGTTCCAGTCGTGAAATCAAGGAAAACAATGTGCTTACCTCCCCATGGTGGGCTTGCAAATACAACACTGTATGGAGCCAGTTCCTTGAGTTGGTTCTTCAGGATCTCAAAACAATCGCCTTCAAACCAAGTGATCTTGTTCTCGACACCATAGATTTTTGCGTTGTGCTTTGCGCATTTCAGGACGGCGGGGTCTTTCTCAATTCCATAGACACGCTTCCATTTCCCGGTCAATGCAAATGCAATTGTGTTTCCACCTGCGCCAGCAAAGCAATCGACCAGAATGCTACGTCCAGCAGGCGCGGACTCAGCAATCTGCTTGGCAATTTGACTAACTATGGTCAGTAATGACACAATAAAAGAGATCGCAGGGTATTTACTTAGCCACTGGTTCAGGCGTAACGCCAAACCAAGCATCGTCAGTCAGCCATACACCTTCGTCGTACTTGGAGAAGATCCGGTAGCGTTGTGCCCAATAACTTAACATAGGGTTAGCACTAGTCAACTTGAACCACCATAAGTCTTACTTCTGGATGTCCCAGGGAACCTCCTGTAGACTACTGTAGTGATGCACCTCCGGAGGTGCTTCTTCTTCGTCTGCCATGATGTTTGATAAAGCAAGATGATCGATGCTCGATAACGGATAAAGATGCGGGTGTTTGCAATGTTTGCATCATCATCTGGCCAGCTCTCAGGCCAGTAAATACAACCTAGCTTCACTTGACCTTCATTTGATCACACAACCTTTTGTGATTAGTCTCACGATGTTTGGCGCATTAAATCGATTCATCGGCCGACTGGACGGTGAACCAGGTCAACAACCTCGAAACGGACCAAACGACAACGCGTTCGGCTTTCAGGTCCTCCGCAACAAGGACCCGGAGCTGCCTCTGGAGCCATGGTTCGACTTTATTGTTGGAATCAACGGACATACAATTGTTCGTCTCCAAATCCAGAGCACGACCTAGCAGTAGAGTATCGCTTACACCGATGTACAGGAAGATCCGGACCCCAACCTCTTTGCGACAGAAGTGCGGAATTGCGCTGGAGCCAGCTTGACACTGGAGGTATGGAGCGCAAAGGTAAGAAACCGATGTTCTCGTTGAAAGCGGACTATAGCTAAATTATGGGATTTCCAGGGTCAACGAACCCACACTGTCACGCATCCTGTCCCGCCAACGAACCCATCTCTCGGTCTCGCACTCCAGCTTGCTCCCCTCTCCTCCACACAACACATTTGGCATGTCATAGCGATCCCATCGCCACTCAGTCCGGCATACCGTGCTGGCTTGCTACCTTACTCGGACTATATTATTGGAACCCCGAGCGGGACATTAAGAGGGGAATCCGCACTCGGAGAGTTGGTTGAAGACCACCTAGACCGCACACTTGTTCTATGGGTTTACAACAGCGAGTTCGATGTGGTTCGTGAAGTTGAGCTTGTACCTACAAGGGGCTGGGGCGGCGCGGGGGCCCTTGGTGCGGAGCTAGGATACGGTGCCCTGCATCGACTACCCATTGGACTCGGAGAAGAGGTGGAGGCACCCGGGGAGGTTGTTTTCGAGACACGCGAAGATGGCATTACTGCCCCAGTCGGCGGCCCTGCGAGTGCTGTGCCAGGCATGGCACCCCCCTCGGGTCAGTTCTTGGTTCCTGCAAACATGACCGCACCGCCGCCCTTGGCTTCGCAAAGAGGCGGTTCACCGTCAGATAATAGGTCGCCAGCAAGCCGTCGTGCAGGAAGACACCGACCTTCGGCCTCCCCCAACAGAGCTTTCGATGATTATTTTGCTGAGGGTGAACAGAAGAGCCGGGAACAAGACTTTGCGCCTTCGAGGCATGGAACTCCTCTCCCTCCTCCACCCAAGGTTGGAATCTCGCCGTCTCATTCCGAAAGTCCTGCGCCTGCACATGAGGCGCCGGAGGGTTCACCGGGGCCAACACAGGAAGAATGAATGATAGATATCTGAGACCAATTTAATGTAGAGTATCATGACGAAATCCAAATACCAATCATCACAAACTATTCCCATTTGCAAGTATCTCTCCAAGTGGGCTGTATATAGCCGACTACTGTATGACCGATCATTTGAGAAACAAAAGGAACCAATCCGGGTATGTGTTCGGATCTACGAGTTCTAAGCGTACATATGCAACAACTAAGTTAAATCCTCTCTAGCTCCCATCGGGTCCAAATTTAGTGGCCCTTGCTCACAAGCTCCTCCAGCTTCTTGCGGGTGTCTCCGATCTTCTCCTCCATCATCTGGCGCGCCATCCCACTGTGCGCAATGCCAGTGTACCAGATGTGCTCTGCCCGATCGCGGATAGCGATATGCTGCTCCGCAACGGCAGGAACTTTCTTCTCATACTCCCAAACGAGGTCTCCGACATTGCGCATCGTCACCGGGAGAAGTGTCCAGGCGGCAGCGGTACCGAAAGCGATTGGCGACGCAGTGCGGAGGAAGATACCACGGTTACGCGAAACGATGGAGCCGGCCATGGCGGCGACGACGGCGTAGACACCGCCGGGGAGCAGGCGTTCGCCAGACTCGGGTGAAGGTGCGAGCGATGCAACGGTGTTAGTGAAGCAGTTTTCGATGTTAAGGGCCCGGGACAGGAAGTTGTTGAAGCCGGTCTCTGCGGCAAGGGAGTTGGAGTAAAGGAAAAGACGGGCTTGTCGGACCTGGGCAGTCAGGATATCTGTCGGGGTGGGCGAGGAGGGAGCTTCTTGCACAGCTGGTGCGGAGATCAGCTGAGGAGCAGCGGGCTGGGCAGGTTGTGCGGGTTTGGAGGGTTCGGGGATGTCGGCTGGGAAGTCATCGTAGATAGGTTTGCGCTATATTAGGCAAGTGGTCGTGTCAGGGCAAGCCAGGAGCTGGGGTTGTCATATATATGTAAGAGAATCTAATCATACGTTGTCTCGAGGCGCTTCTGCGAATGCTGTCTGCTTGGGGTACAAAGCAATGCCTCCCGCGAGGAGAGTGGCTGCGATCGGAGCCACAGCCCGCTAGGCACAAGTCAGCAGGGAACCGCAGTGAGGGATCAATTGCATCGGGTTATTCAAGAGCAATTGCTAGAGAGCAGCCATACCTGTTGCAACATCGGCCGGAACGACATCCTGGGGGTGTGGGGGAGGAGGAGTAGGGGAGCTGAAGTTGAAGGTGAAGCAAAGTCGTGTTGGAGCCAGACGGGAATTCTTCGGCTCGGCGGAACCTCCAGAAAACTCCGTCATTGCCCGTTCTCCTTCACTCGACCATTTCTTTGGGACATTTGGATTATTTCTTATGTTTTTACTCCGTTCTTAATACTGTCGCTACAATGCTTCGCACTGTGCGACGATCGTGGACATGTCGCCAATGCCTACAGCGCCTACAGTCCCAGTCCCGAGCCTTCGAGAGCGCCGCATCACCCTCGCCGACGCCTTTCGAATATAATCCAGCAGACAACAGTGCGCCAGGGAAGAAGACCGATGATCAGACCCTACGCCGCGTGTTCGATTCTCAGCCGTTCTGGAATGAGTACTCCCAGCAACGCACCACAACGATCCCCAGACGAGCTGGGTTAGTTCAGAACCAATACCTCACAAGCCCCGAAGGCTTCAGGACATTCGCAAATGTCTCCTTGCAACGGTGCCAGGCTATCGTAACCAAGGTTCTTGCCGCCTCGACTGTGGAGGAATACAGGGCACTGGCACGCGACCTTGACCGGCTCAGTGATCTCCTGTGTCGCGTCATCGACCTGTCGGACTTCATTCGAACCATCCACCCTGATCCACGTATACAAGAAGCAGCCACGCAGGCGTGGGCTCTAATGTTTGAATATATGAATGTTTTGAATACCACCACTGGCCTTCATGAGCAGCTAAATACGGCATTGAACAACCCCCATGTGACATCACACTGGACCGAGGGCGAGAGGATTGTGGCTCAGATCTTGAACAAAGATTTCTCGAACTCTGCAATTCACATGCCGCCAGAGGTAAGGCAGCGTTTCGTTAATCTTTCAAATGATGTGAGCCAGTTGGGATCCGATTTCATGAACGGCGCGGAGCCTGCGAAGTCCCAGGTAGTCTTCCCTGCCAGTGCCCTTCAGGGATTGGATCCTGTTGTCGTCCAGAAAATAAAAAGGTGGAACAAGAAGGCGCCGGTGCCAACCATGGGCGTTGTTCCGAGGCTTGCTCTGCGCTCGGTGCGTGATGAAGGAGTTCGCAAAGAGATATATCTCGCCACTCGCACATCCAGTACACGCCAGCTACAGAGACTGGAAGAACTTCTAGTGAAAAGAGCCGAGTTGGCCAAACTTACAGGCCACAGCAGCTTTGCACACATGACTCTCGGTGACAAGATGGCCAAGACGCCTGAAGCGGTATCGAACTTCTTGACTACGCTCGTCTCAAGCAATCGTGGCCCAGTTCGTGAAGAGCTATCTAGGCTGCATGAACTGAAAGGCTCATCTTTGCAGCCGTGGGACCATGCATTTTACGTTCATAAGCAGGTCCTGGAGTACACCCGGTCTCGTCGCTCCCGTCACCTGGGTTCTATTAATGACTTCTTCTCCCTGGGAACTGTGATGCAGGGTCTCTCTCGGCTTTTCGAGCGTCTATATGGTGTGCGTCTTGTCCCACACGAAACATCTCCTGGCGAGACCTGGCATCCAGACGTCCGTCGCTTGGATGTCGTGGACGAATCGGACCAGCATATTGCAGTCGTTTACTGTGACCTGTTTACCCGGCCAAGCAAGCACCCAAATCCAGCTCATTTCACTCTTCGGTGTTCGCGCGAGATCTCAGCTGAGGAGGTTGCTGAATGTGCTTCGATGGACCAGTCGGCTCACCCGAATGACGGCATGGCCACCGGCGTCGACCCGCAGACCAAGACTCTGCGCCAGCTACCAACCATTGCTCTCGTATGCGATTTTCAGGAGCCTCAGGCCAATGGATCGGGCCATCCAACTCTGCTGAGCGAGCAGAGTGTTCGTACATTGTTTCACGAGATGGGTCATGCAGTCCACTCGATCCTCGGTCAGACGCCTCTGCAGTCCATCTCTGGAACTCGGTGCGCCACTGATTTCGCCGAACTTCCTTCCGTGCTGATGGAAAGCTTCGCGACTGCTCCAGAGGTTCTCTCCTTGTATGCACGCCACTGGAAGACTGATGAACCTCTATCCGAGAGTATGATGCAGAGCATGGAACTAGACCGCACTGCGCACGGTTCCATCTACGGCGCCGTGGAGAACGAGGCGCAAATCCTTATGGCGCTTGTTGACCAAGCATATCATTCAATACCTGCCGAAATTAGTTCAGCTGGCATTGACTCCACCGAGATCTATCACCAAGTCTTCGCTCAGCACTCCAGTCTGCCCGATCCGGATAACATTCGGCCACGCACCTCCTGGCAGGGCTTCTTTGGTCACTTGTACGGCTATGGCGCTACATACTACAGCTACATCTTTGACCGAGCGATCGCCAATAAGCTCTGGCAGGATGTTTTCCAATCTGGACAGGCAGCCGTTGATCGCGCTGCCGGAGAGCGATACAAGAACGAAGTCCTCCGCTGGGGAGGTGGTCGCAATGGCTGGCAGTGCGTGGCCGGCGTCCTGGGCAACAGCAACCCCTCCAATGCGAACGGCCGTCTGGCTGAAGGCGGCGATGAAGCCATGCGTGAGGTTGGCCGCTGGGGTCTGGGACGCGAGGGCATGTAATGTGACCCGGATTGTACTACTATCTGATACGCTCTGATCTATATATTCTGTAAACAAAATATAGTTTCTTGATCTGATTCGGTGCTCTTGTGACCTCTTAATTAGACTCTGGGGCCGGCTTGAACCGGTCTCACCGTGGACGAATGATCATGGACTCCGAAATCGTCCACTTGCAGGGATTTCACCAAAACTACGGAGTACGGACGAGTATTTCCTGTTAGCGACTAGCCAATAGAATACAGTCTAAGCAGGCCAACGATCTCCGCTGCGCATTCCATGCAATGTCTGAGACTAGTGGCTGTTAAGCAGCGCCACGGTGAACGATGGCAGGGTGTGACTAGAATGTCTCACTGCCCCTTTGTCCTTGTCTCGGGAGTCAGTAACACAACAGAGATGTATGAGAACTAAACGAGACAAAAGCTATCAGACAGTTTACATGGTTACCGTGAGCATAGATAGCGTTTCTACGCCTCTCTGACTCCCCCCGGAACCTACCCAAGCCTATCGCAAAACCGCGCCCACTCGACCTCAAGTACCTCTGACGTACCTCGAGGAGCGCCTCGCATGGTGGCTTGCTGTAGCGGTAACCCACGGTACCCCCCGATTATGCAAAAAGGCAAAGCGCGAACGTTCCTGTGATAGCTGATAGCCTAGGCAGGGCACATGTTCTTTGCTTTGTCAATCATATATGGGACTCCGAGCGCCCCTGGGGTTTTATACAAGTTGTAGATCTGTCCGACCCTGCAGATCCAAGCCATAGTTTGAAGTCCTGCACAAGCCCATCGGTTGAACAAAGAATCTCCCAGCCCTTCGATCATCTAGATCCTTATCTCCTTGTTGCAGGTATGTGCCATCCAACGTATCCTAGAGTACTGTGCAGAGTACCCGGGTATTTACCGCTATCTCTTGCTCATTGTGTTTGTAGATTGCAGTTGTTTCAACTTCACTTCTTTCAGCTCGGACTAAGTAGCATTTCTTGGTTGCCTGGGGTATTATTTATTCCCCGGCAACCCTGCTTGATCTCCCTCTGCGTCGTTTTCAGTCGCAACAATCTACCGTGGCATTGAAATATATTATCAACATGCCTGACGTTATAATCGTAAACGACAATGCCTCATTCACCTCGAGCACCACTTTCTCTACACAAGACTCGGAGCAATCACCACGTCCACTCCGTCGAAGAAACACAGTGACGCAGCTGACAAGGCGCGTTTCTAAGAGGATATCGCAATCAATCCTCAGGGTCGGGGTACAGGAACATCAACTCAGCGAAAAGAACCTTAAGGATCTCAACGAAGCAACACATGTGGACGCGCTGGGCTCGCCTGGCTCATACCTACCAGATCAATCACACGAGCCAAAGGTCTACGAGCCTATCCACGAAGACATCGAGGAGGAAGTCCATAGTGTAGATGTGGAAGCAGCAAGAGACATGCGCCTTCAAGAGTCCTACGCTGCCTTCTGTCGCGACTTCACAATGTCAGGGAAACCAACAGTGAACCGAAAGTTCGACTTGAACATGAGAATGGAAGAGGCTTCAGAAGTGCACCAGCAGCCGCGTGCAAACTCAACGCACAGCAACGACAGATCTGGATTGGATTTGCCGCATGGCCTTTCTGATCATAGAATGAATATTACAGGATCACAACCCAGACCCAGACCGAATTCTGTCGCATACCCAGTATCATGTACATCTATGCATCAGGACATGTACATGCACACGCCTCAGTCAGCAACTACCAGAGAGCCACCTCTCCGATGGCCAGAACTAGCCCCATCAAAATTCGAACCCGACCACAACAGATACGGATCAGATTTCCAAATCCCTCACAACCCCAACCCCAACTATCCACAACCACCACCGCGAATTATCACCCCAACGGTGTGGATGGACATGCAACAAACCGAGCGGGAGCGCAAAGAAGCTCGGCGAACGAGACTTCTAGCGCCCTTTCGGTCTTGGTTTATGACGAGTCCGCCCTGGTGGGGGCGGAGATATGAAGTTGTCGAATAGCGGGTTGATGCAGGTTGGGGCGTTGGGGATTCACTTTACTGGTTGTATTTTAAATCTACATTATCTAAATCAAACAATCTAAGTTTGCTCCTTTTTTTATCTTTGGCTTTGCTTTTTCCCTGTGAGACCGTGTCAGCATGTTATTATTCGTCCTTGGATATATTAAAGGGCCCCGCATAAGCAATCACATCTACCCCTCCAGAGTCCCTTTCAACGCCATGTTCGCTAATTACAAGCCTCCACGAGACGCTATGACTCGTTGTTCGTGTGATCTCACTATGCAATACTTATCAGCGTATTCTGCATATGATACGGGGTATAGGAGGCAACCATTTGGACATCTCGAATACGGGTTCTTAGCCCTAAGGGCCATTAGGTACTTAATCGAGCCAGTAACTTGGTTAGTATTCTCCGATGACCTAAGCTCGTATTAGCAAAAAGTCGTTTTCTTGGACGTGAAAATGAAACGTGGAGTTATCGAGTCACTGGCGTACATGTAATCTGATGGGGGCCACATGCACCACTATAAAATGAGCCGTAACTGATAGCCTGACTTTTCCGCAGATCTGACTCTTGCATTCTGGACGATATCTTATCTTTGGTACGCTGCGATAATCGCCTCCACTCGCTATGTCGAAATCTACAGCCACACAGGCCACGTATGATGGCAGTTGCCACTGCGGACAAGTCGCATTTACGATGAAGCTCTCGCCACCCATAGAGGAGCAAACCTTGAAGACATGCAACTGTACATACTCCCCTCTTGGGGAGACAGATGAGCAGCGATGAAAATATGATCACTAGGGACTAAATCAGATATTCTACCCAGGTTCAATCTGTAGCATCAATGGCTATGTTTTGCTTTACGCTCAGCAATCCAATGTAGCTTTCCACGACAGCGAAAATGACGCTCGCAAGGTAGGCGGACAACTCGTCTTCATAATATACGGTTGATTGGGGTTAATATTTTCCAGGAGTACCGATTCGGAACCATGAACTTCCCGCACGGCTTTTGCTCAAATTGCGGGTCGAGCATGTATGCTCGCGCAGATGGCGGAAAATATGGTGGTATTATGGCTATCAATGTGAGTTTTTTAAACCAGTATGAGATTGGGATATGTATCCTCATGATTGATAGGCACGGACTCTGAAGGGAATCGATATCAGCACCCTCAAGATTGAGCAAGTTGATGGGAAGAATGTCGAATTCTCCTAGATGCCCGTTTGTGTGTTTGGAAAATGCTTGTGTCTTGGGTATTGGTCTGAATCAAAACATGCAGCAACATATCTCTTGGAGGTGCTATTCAATAGTAGTCTACGCCATTTACTTGCCGGAGTCCGATATGGCTGTCGTGGTTAGTGAATATGAGCTTAGGTGGTGAGACCAAAATGTAAATGTGTAAATGTTTACTATGGTAACCATTTCATGTCTGCTTTATTGCTCTCTGTTGCTAAGTCCATATTAAATCCGAAATTCTCTAACTCGGCAGGTCACGGAATAGTATAAAGCGGAAATATATATCTGCATCCCACCAACCACCAAGAAATAAGTCATCAATTTCAAAACACTCAATAGCTTTGAAACAATCGAGCAGTTAAATATGATCCACCAGATCCACACAGGAATAGAATATAGAAGGAGCAATAAGAGTTGCTGGGGGTACAAAAACAACGAGGACAAAATAACCGATGGGCGTCCATGGATAGGGAACCCGGTTCCCTGGGAAAAACATATGCTTAAAAGATAACGTAGAGTTTCAGTCTTCAATGAACCAAGGTTTAAGGAATATTAGGATATTACAAAACAAAATAACAAGCAAAAAAATCATTTTAACAAGTCGGGATTGATATGTATGAAAAAGCAAAACGAAAAAAGAATGGACTCGCGGGGAATCGAACCCCGGACCACTCCCATGCTAAGGGAGTATTATACCACTAAACCACAAGCCCAGTTCGATGGAAAAGGCATACATTTTGTGCTACATGAGGGAAAATAAGTCTGACCGAATTCATTACCTCGTTCATACGCGCTAACCTCTTTCAACATCCACAGAGGGTTCACTCAACACTATATTTGAACATCAAATGTTACAAACGATCTGATCTTGGATCCCATTCAAACAGAGGCGTGATTATTACCTAAAGAAAAATCTACATGGCTGTAGAAGCACAGCTGATATACGATAGTAAATTTCCTCCTTGAATACTTCAGGTTTTGTCCATATCTCAAGACATTGATAAACTTATCTTCTAATAGCAATGACACAATGCCATACTGATAGCGGGCGAACCTTAGTAGAATGTATTACAAGACCGGCATGCACTCTCAGTGAAGCACTGGCCATTCTACATTGACAAGATTGGAAGATCTATGATCGATTCAGACATAAATAAGTAAAAAAATACACACAAGACAACAAAAAATAGACACTTTTTCCATGCAGGGATACACATTCCTCGCGATCATCTAAACCCCACTATGTGAAATGGGAGAGTGAGCGGAAAAAAAGACAGCAATGGATATCACGGAATCATGCAATTAAACCGGTACCCTCAAACACCCCGGTGAAAAAAATGGATGGGACATGTCGAGAAATTTACTTGATCTCGAGGAGCTTGACATCAAAGATGAGCTTGGAGTTGGCGGGGATGCCGGGGAGAGCCTTCTTGCCGTATGCGAGGGAGGGAGGGATGGAGATACGACGCTCACCACCGACAGCCATGCCGGCGACACCAATGTCCCAACCCTTGATAACCTCACCCTTGCCGAGCTTGAAGGTGAAGGGCTTGCCCTTCTTGTTGGAATCGAAGACCTTGCCGTCCTCGAGCTTGCCGATGTAGCGCATGGCGACAACGTTGCCACTCTTGGCAGCAACACCCTTTCCGAGCTTCTTGTCGTCCATCTTGACACCGCGGACCTCCTTCACGCCGAGGGAGCCGGTGGGCTTGTCACCGGAGGGGGTAGGACCCTGCTCGAGGTTCTTGGCGAACTGGACCTTCTTGTCGGTCTTGGCCTCCTTCTTGGCCTCGGGCTCAACAGCAGCGGCGTCACCGTTGTTCTTCTTGAGCTTCTTCTGCTGGGCCTTGGTAAGGGCGGGCTCCTCAGCCTTGGTGGACTTGGCCTTGTTAGCCTTGGCCATCAGGTCATCAAGGCTAACCTCCTCCTCGGCAGCGCGCTTGTTCTTGCCCTTCTTGGCCTCAACAAGCTTGGGTGCCTCAGCCTCCTCCTCGCTGTCGACCTCAGTGACTCTGGGGTCGTCCATCTCATCAAGGTCGTCGCTCTCATCATCATCCTGCATGGCCATGATCTCATCCATGTCGAGTTCATCCTCATCGGGGGACAGGTCATAGTCGTCCTCATCATCCTCATCATCGTGGTCGTGGTCGTGGTCGTGACCCTCATCGAGACCAATGACATAGTTACCGGTCAGGAAGACAGTGTGGTTACCAGTGACCTTGAAGAAGACGGGCTCACCCTCGCAGACAGTGATATCAAGAGTCTGCTGGCAGTTCTGTAAGGCAGTTAGTTATCGGCATTCAATTGACAAGGCTGGTATGAAGAATGCCAAACTTACCTGGGTGGGGCTGAGAGTACAGATAACGTTCTCGTCGAGCTCAAGACCCTCCTCGGATTCATCATCCTCATCGTCGAGGGCGGGACCCTTGCCCTTGATCAGCTTGGAGATGGCGGCCTTCAGGTCGAAGTCCTCATCGTCACCCTCATCGGAGTCCTCCTCCATGGCATCCTCGAGGTCCTTCATGGCGGCAGCCTCCTTCAGCTTGCGGGCCTTCTCCTTGTCGCTGGGGCCACCGTTGGTCTCCTCCTCCTCGTCAGAGTCCTCCTCCTCGTCTTCATCACTGTAGTCCTCATCATCGGAGTCCTCCTCATCGAGGTCAAGACCGGGAGGAGTGCGAACAATCTTCAGAGTGGCACGGGCAGGCTTGCTCGAGTCGGCGTCATCTTCGTACTCGGGGACCTCATCGGGATCAATGGCAGCCATGCTGATGCGGAACTAGGATCAAAGTCAATAAGGACCATTACTCTCATCGTTTTTCATCCAAACTTACCGAAGCAGCAGCATTGGGGACTGCGGCAACCATGGCACCGGGAGGAACCCGGAGCGCATAAACTGCGACGGGCTGAACGGCAGACATTTTGTGAAGAATCGAGATAAGAACAATATATCTAGAATGAATGAAAAGATCAAACGAAAAAAGAACTGAACCACGAGTGACAAGGTGTGGATGAAGGAGGAAGGGAAGAGAGCAAGATCGGCAGATAGCTATACATTTTTTTTTTTCTCCAATTTCTTTGCCTTGACAGTCTCGGCAGCCAATGGGATCAATGGTGGCCCACCGCCCATAAACTGCCACGCTTGGCCGCTGGCTGCACCGCCTTGGTTCACGTGACTTCTGCCATGACGCGTGATTGCCGTGTCGCCGCCATCGCCTCACGTACAGTCTCATCGCCTATATACTGGTTGGCCATGGTGGTTGTTGTGGCCCAAAATGGGCTCCCGCCATGAGATAAATTCAAGCGCGGTGCGCAAACGGATTGAAAACCGTATGTTTCATTATCAAGATTCCATCTGCTCTTGCCTGACCGCCTCCAGATGACTTCAATAACGAAGCTGGTGAGGAGTATGAAGCCTCCAGCTTTGGCGGATTTGGGGACTATATGCGGCGGAAGAAGATGAAGCTGCAGAACCTCGATGCAGAAATCAGAGCCTCCGCTGGTGACTGCCCGCCGATATTTCGTGGCGTAGTTGCCCATGTGAATGGATATACACAGCCTTCGCTTCAAGATCTCCATCGCTTGATTGTGAGCCACGGGGGCGGTTTTCTCCAATATCTGGACGGCAAGACTGTGGCAACGCATGTCATTGCTAGTGCTCTTACACCCAAAAAGTGCGAGGAGTTCCGTCGATATCGCATAGTGAAACCCGCATGGGTGACCGACAGTATAAAGGCTGGCCGCCTACTCCCATGGGATGACTATAGAGTAGTAGACGAAGGTCAGGCACAAAAAGTGCTCAAGTTCGGCGATGGCCGATTTACAAGCCAGACAAACAGCCCTCGCACTGGCTATAAAGAGCAATCAAGGACCAGCTGGTATAACTCCCAATTGAGGGAGGGGGGCACAGGTGGTCAAGGTAACTTTGGATCACCATCAAAACCGTTGACACCGTCTGCACCACCACAAACATCACAGATACCAATACCAACCATACCGAGCCAACCATCTCAGTCAGATTATGGTGATTTCCCTAGCTTCGTGATGGAGGATGAAGCGAGAGAACACCCCACCCCTCAACTTCAAGAAAGTACACAAGTCAGCGGCCAAGCTGTACAAACCCCGGAGCAAACGCCACATTTCAACAGAGAGGATACTGCATCAGAACCACCATCTGATGCCACGGAGAAACACTCACTTCTTCAGACAAGTCCTAAGAAACCAGAGCTAACCTCTGAAGAGTACAATGCTCAGCTTCTTTCTGACCCACGGATGCAAAAGTCCAGTGTCTGTAATCCTGATTTTCTGCAGCAGTATTACAGAGAGTCCCGTCTACATCATCTTTCTACCTGGAAGGCGGAATTGAAGGCTCAACTTCAGGCAGCAACAAAGGAAAAATCGCTGTCCCAGACATCACAAAAGAAGCCACTACCAGGTGCAAGGAGATACATCTTGCATGTAGATTTCGACTCATTTTTCGCAGCCGTGTCCCTTCTCAAGCACCCCGAACTGCGAGACAAACCAGTTGCCGTTGCTCATGGCTCTGGTTCAGGCTCTGAAATTGCCAGCTGCAACTACCCTGCACGTGCAAAAGGTGTTAGAAATGGAATGTGGATGAAGGGTGCATTGCAAGCGTGTCCCGATCTCAAAGTCCTTCCTTATGATTTCCCTGCCTATGAAGATGCCAGTCGCAAGTTCTACAGCTCAATACTTGCCATTGATGGCGTCGTACAAAGCGTCAGTATTGACGAGGCGTTGCTCGATGTCAGCAACTTGTGTATAGACGCCGGTGGCTCAAATGGCAAGGCTATTTCAGAAGGTTCGGTTGATCGTGAGCAAGCCAAAGCAGATGAACTAGCTCAAGTTCTACGGGATTCGATAAAAGAGAAGACCGGATGCGCAGTCTCCGTTGGGATTGGAAGCAACATCCTGCTTGCAAAAGTGGCACTAAGAAAGGCCAAACCTGCTGGCCAATTCCAATT